TTATACAGAAAGTTGGAGGTAAAGGGTGTTTTTGGTGAACAGTTATGATACCCAAAGTGCTTGAACTTGGGAACTAGAGATACAGCTTAGTAATAGAGTATTTGCCAAAAACGCATAAAGTCCTACCTTTAACCCTTAGTACCACCAAATAAAAAGAGAGCTTGAGTCAAATATTGATCAAACCACATCTACTGACCATGAGCCCTCTGTTTCCTCATCTGTTTAACTGAAATGAGAATCCAATTAACTTAGGGTTCTCATTTCATTAACTTTGTGGGAATTACACAAGGCAATGTGTGGGGATGCAGTAGATCAGCTCGCAGACTGCTGTGTTTATCATTGCCCAAGCTGACTTACAGTTTTCCAGAGATTTAGAATATAATAAAATAGTCTTAAGCACTAATCTGTGTTCCATGACTCAGAAGATCCTCCAGGAAGTTACAAAATCTCAAGGTCTTAGGGTCATGATCATGAACAAAGAGTAATTTTGTAGGAAAAAGAAAAGCTCTTCCCTGTGTGTATTCTTTGGTTTATAAGATCCAAATTAAATAGGCGCATATTGACTGTATTGAGCCCAAAGGGAACAGTGATGCAGACTCTAAGCTCCTTGTTTTACAAATGAAGCCAGTGAGCCAATGAAAAGCCTGCCCAGAATCACATGTTAATTAGTGGCTCATCTGGGAGTAAAATCCAGGCTCTGACTCCCCAGACACTTCTCACCCATGTTTAAGCATAACTCAAAGTGTGAAATGAGGGTCAGAATGTCCTGATGTGTGAGCTGCCCCTTTGAACGCCGAATTGGGAAAATCAAGGAAGTTAAAGAGCCTGGGCAAATGTATTATTGAAGGGTGTAATACTAGAATTTGACTTGACTCCCCTTGGAAGAAAAAGTACAGTGGAATTCTTAGTAATTTTCTTAAATCAGAATAGTTCACTTCTTTCATACAGAATTCTTCCCAAATAGCCTCACATTAATTGGCATTAAAAATTCTGATCTTAGTAAGTAAATGAATGTCACAGGTTGTGTGACATTCTCCCTCCCTCTCTCCCCCAACCTTCCTTCTGTTTCTTAATGATCTCAAACATTATATCCTTTAACTTTGTTGAGTTAAAATTGCAAGAGGCAGCTGTAAAATAAGTTGTATGTGTCCCTCCCTCACCCTGCCTCTACAACTTCTGTCCCAGCAGTGGCTATGAATCACACGAACAATCAGAACCCAGCACTGCTGAGCATCATGGTCAAACAGCTGTGAGTATTTGACCTGTGCTGCTGTGTTCCTAGGTACAGTCAAAACAGAGTCCCACATACACCTCCCTCCTCTCCCCATTTATGAATGTATTCCTCCAAGGATCTACAAATCCCTTTTTTCTTTTCTTTTTCCCTTCTTACTATTTCTTTTTACTTTGTTGATAACTTGAGAAAGGCTCTAAGGATCTCAGTCTTGGATGCATAAGAATCAGTTCACTCAAGTCTTTTTGGAATCCCCAGTACATGTTGAAAACCATCTCTATTCTGAGTCTGGCTAAGGAGTGTTTGGGTAAGCAGAGTGATGCTAAGAACACAGATTCTAGAAGTATATGCTAGACTCTGATCTCAGCTCATCTTGTTCTAGGGCTATTACACCCTTGGAAAAATCCCCAAAATATATGGAGCCTTGGTTTCCTAATCTGAACCTCCTGTCTCATGCGATGCATGAACATGCAGTTAAATGAACTAATATTTACAAGGTGCTTAGAACCACACAAGTGCTTCTTAAATGACTATTTAGTAAATTAAATGGTCTGGATTAGAATAGGGTCTCCTCTGGGTACTAGGCTCTATTCTACTTGGGGTTAGAAGCTTTAACACACAAGCCTTAGAGAGTCCCCAGGTTTGAAAAAAATGGCTTCTTTTTCTCCAATTAGAATTTCAAAGCACATTCTATACCACAGCCTCTTTGTTCTATTGAATTAAAAAGGAAATAGCAGTGGGACCCGACTTCCAGCACAGAAGTGTATCTGACCTCTTTCCAGCTCAGTGAGCTGTCCACCTCTTTATGCTAATGCAAGAGCAGTGACTGATCAATGTATTGAATGGCCTGGAGCAGGTAGCTTGTTCATCTTGATGGAGCTGGTAAAACTGCTGGGATTGCCCCGCATTCCCTGGAACTCGCTGGTGGGTCCCTTTTGTACACAAGTGTGGAGCCTGCAGCATCGAGTTCTGGTGAGGGGGTTTCCACTGTGGCCAAGCTGTGGGAGAGATTAATGGGAAGTGAGAAGAGAAACTGTTGTTCTTAACGGGCAGTGCTGTTTGGAGTATGTGACTCTTCTTGTATTTAGGGAAAAGATTACTCACGAATATTTTCTTCTGTAGAATATACAGAACCTCAAATTACTACTTGCGCCCCCCACCCCCTTCTCACCGCCTCCCTCTGTTTCACCGTGTCCCCTGCAGAAACTTCAGCATTTAACTTTCATTTCCCCTTCTCGGCAGGATTCGGTTCTGTATTCACTTGGGCGCCCACACTTCCACAAGCTGCCCTGTGCTTTTCCCTGTTTCTGTATGAACACCCCTGCTCTGGGTCCTGCCACCGCCAGGTGCTTTCCTGGACCAGCCTTGCCTGGAACCTCCCGTGTGTCCCCTCAGGACCACTGTACTCCTGCTCATCATGTGAGGGAGAAGAGGACAGGCATCTACAGTAATGAGTCGCTGTGTTCTTCTCCCTGCCACTGCTGATAGGAGGAAGTAAACTTTAAGGTTTTAACTAGCTCAAACATTGGCTGCAGGCTGGGGATTTAGCTCAGTGGCACAGCACCTGCCTGGCAAGCATAAGGTTCTGAGTTTGATTCCTGGTCCTCAAAAAAAAAAGGCTGCTTGCTGGGTGTGGTGGTGCACATTTGTAGCCCCAGCAGTTGGGAGGCTGAGGCAGAAGGGATCACCATGAGTTCCAGGCCAAATTGAACTCTACATAGCAAGACCCTGCCAAAAAACCACTGAAATGAAATTAGCTGCTCCTACTCTCATCTTACTATGATTCCTTGTATGTTGAAAGTTACTGGGAAGAGGTAGGCCTGCCTGTATCTGGGGCCATTTTTTATAAGCCCAATCAAGAATCAGGAAATAAAACCTTAGATTCTTTAGTGTATGTGTTTTATTCTAAAGGACATAGGCAGTCATGTACTACAAATCATTATTCCATAGTACTGTTTACTTTTTCTATTTAAGAAAAAAATTAATATGAAACTTTGAAAATCCTTAAGGGCTATCTGTCCCAATGGCCGATAGTTCTTTATTGGTCCATTACAAGATGGACTGGTTCTGAGAGGACTTCCAGAGTTGGAGGGAGCCAGCTACCTTCCTTCTCAACTGTATTCTGCAGAGACTGCGCTAGGAAAGTGGCCAGCAGTCGGGCCCAGAGCCTCGGACATTCTCCAGGGGACCAGAGCCTGGTGTCCCCACTCCAACACATCTAACACGTTGTGCTTTGTCTTGCCTAGTGTTGGGCGATCCTTTCCAGGATTGAGCCTGAGGACACTTATAACACATTCCGGGGTCTCCCTAAACTTAAGTAACTTACACTGAAAGACTGGAGCTCTTCTTGGCACGCTCTAGATCCACCGGGCTCTGTGTGACTCTTGCCACTTGATTTTATTTATTTACTTTTTTATCGGTACCGGGGATTGAACTCATGACTGCCTGCTTGCAGGACAGGCGCTTATGCCGCTGAGCTAAATCCCCAGCCCCCTTTTCAAGAGTGGATTTCTGTTGAGCATCTACCTTCTTCCGACCTAGTGGTTCTAAATGTTTTGCTGTCAGCACTCTTTTCACTTCTCGAAAGTTATTGAAAACTCCAAAAAGCTTTTGCTCACGTGGATTGTGTCTTACCTAATTTTACCACATCGTAAGTTAAAACTGAGAATTTAAAATATTCATTTGCTTAATGGAAAATAATAAGCTGTTTGTATGTGTTACTGGGAATTAAAGCAGTAAATCCCAATGAGCTATATTGAATCCTCGGCCACCACCACCACCACCCCACTTTTTTGGACACAGGCTCAAAAGTATGTGTTCCCCTTAAAAAAAATGTGCAAAGAATAGCAGTGTTGTACAAGTTTCCCAAGTCTCTCTTAATACCTGGCTTAATAGAAAATGTCTAGATTCTCTTAACTGTTTCTTTCACCTTGTCGCAGTATCACTTGTCATGTAGGTATGCTCATGAATGTATGAGAGTGACAAAGGTAAATACTTATTATATTGCTATGAAAGTAATTTTACATAGACACCCTACAGAGATCTTGGGAACCTTCATGGCTCCTGTGATCACACTTTTCTAATTTCTTGAATGGAGTATCAAAGATTTCCCACAGTGGTAAAGTAAAACAAAAATGTAGGTTTAGAGCTGTGGTGTCAGAAACCCAACCTGATCGCCCATCAGCTCCATTCTAGGCCTCCTCCATTCTGTATTGGTCCTAGTCAGTCAAAGTACCACACTCACCAGGAACGTCTGACATCAGCATGTCCATTAAGAGGCTGAAGACCTTTCATCCTTACCTTGCCCTCTTATTCCCAGAGGCCAGCTGATGGTTTCCCAGAGGCTGAGTGAATTGCTCTTCCTGGAAGAAGTTTCAGGGAACACTTCATTGTTGGGCAGCTCTGGACAGTCAAGGCCAGCTCTGGAACATTCTCACTTCAGAAAGACTCAGGGCTACGTCACATCAGCTCTGATTCTGTGTGTCTCAGGCCACCCCAGGGCAGGAATCTCAGATCTATCATCCTTGGACACTTTTAGAAAAGTGTGTTTTTCTCTTTTATTTTGCCTATAAATAAAAAATTAATGTATAACACATTTGAGCAGTTATGAGGCTAGAGTTTTAACTCAGGATTTAGAATTGACTTTAAAGGCTATTAAGATTCAGGGACTGGATTTTGTTAATCATTTAAAGATCTTTCTCCTTGTTTCAACTGACTAACTGATGAGACCTTTTTTCTCTTCCTTTCTGTCTCGCTCTCTCCCCAACAGGCTTGCAGCCAATTTACTGGAGCAGGGATGACGTAGCCCAGTGGCTCAAGTGGGCTGAAAATGAGTTTTCTTTAAGGCCAATTGACAGCAACACGTTTGAAATGAACGGCAAAGCGCTCTTGCTGCTGACCAAAGAGGACTTTCGCTGTCGATCTCCTCATTCAGGTGAGCACCTGCACCCTGGGGTGCTGTGGACTCAGCGTGGACAGTCACTTGGTGGTTGGTCTTTGATACCGCCCATCCTGTACCAGCAGTCTGCACAGCTGATCGTCACAGACAGAGGGACAGTGACAGTTTACCAGCAGGAAGATCCCGCTGACTAAGCCAGTTTCAGGTTTCCAGATATGGGTGGAGAGTTAGGTTAGGAGAAGTTGCCCGCTTTTTACCTGGTAACCCTGGAACTTCAGTGATGTTGTGCTGCCATCAGAGAAAGTAGGGAACACCATTCCTGCCCTTTCATCTCCCTGAGAGTTAGTACAGGTCAGGAACTGATGAATTTTTAAAAACAGCTGGGTTTGGTGGTGTACACCTGCATCCCAGCGCTCAGGAGGCTGAGCCATGAGTACAAAGCCAGCCTGGGCTGTAGAGTGAGTTCAAGGGTGCTGTCTCATAAACAAAACAAAACAAAATGTAGCTTTAGAAATCCTGCAAGATAAAAGTAGGCATTTTCTCAGGCCCACCTAAGATTTGTCAAAATAGGGGCTCCTAAGATCACACTGGAGCCCTGCAATAAGCATTTGCACTTGCTGCAGAGAGTGCTGCTGACATAGAGAAGTCATAGAGAAGTCTTCAAAAATGCTTCTCAATTTTCTGCCTTACGGTTACCAGGTAGGGAGTTATCTGGTGACTACAAGTCAGAGGGGAACTTTTCGCTCTGATATGTGTCTTGAGGGATTAGTTACCAGAGCACCAAAAGATCTGATCCTATTGAGTCTCATTTGTAAACCTGGGCAAATACCCTTTTCTCTGTGGCAAAAGGGCAGATACCCTGCAAAAGACCTTGGCGTAGTCCCTCAGTGCATGTAACCCTCACTTACCCCTGGAGGCCCACCAGCAATTAATAAACTAACCCTTCAGAGGAAAAAGCCCCACTCCAGGGGTGAGATGAGCCCGCAGAGTACCTCCCTCCTTTTTCCAATCACAGCAGATGATTTATAGGAAGAAACGCTAAAGGGGACATTTCCCCCAAAAGTATAGATATGACCAAAACTTGAAAGTTTATAGCTCTCAGAGTAGCTAATTTTTAAGTTTTTCTCAGAGACACAACCATACCAGAAACATTTGGTTTCAAATCTTTGATTCTTTTTGTAATCTCAGAATAAGAAAAGGGTAAACAACTATCTGAGTAAATGAAACTTTCCTAAATAGTCACTTTGAATTGACTGCAAAACACTTCTCTTTTCTGTTAGAGTGGAAACTTAAGTGGTATTATATTCAGAGGCAATATTACATGCCTAGAGGCAAAAACCCCTAGCTCTTTCATGTTCCAGTGAAACCAGTTGTGTAAAACAAACAAAGGAAAACCCAGTGATGTGTTTGGACTTGATTTGACTTAGACTCTGCGTGAGATTTTCTCAGGTCTTTGTGAATTTCCCTGCATCATCTCTCAGGTGCCCCACTTCTTTGCTGGTTGACTTTGCTCCCCAGTGACCTCAGTTCTCCTGATATATCGAGGTTCTCTCTGATCAAAGGTGAACAGGTGAAACCAACCACTTTTTCAGCCCTTTTCTGGCGTGGGCCATGTGGAAATAGCTCTGCTCCAGGGAAGTCACCAATTAGAGAAACAGGACTGCATGGACCCTAAAGACCAAAGAAAGGGAAAGCCAGTGTAGTAAAGGTCTTGCTAGAGGAAGAATGGAATTGGTCTGGAACATGAAGGGCAGAGAGTAACTGCAACAGCCTGCTATACTTAAACAGTGATGAAAACATCCATCTGTTGTACAGAAAAGGCAGGAGGCAGGAAGGCCAGCTCAGGCTGGGACTCTAGTTCAGGCACGAGGTCTGCAGACCACACTTAGGTGCTGGCAGCAGAGATTCATTCTGTGAGTGTTCCTTCAGCCACTGAAGCAGGGATACAGCAGTCTGGGTTTTGTAGGTAGGAGAGGCCTTTTTTTTTGTCAAATGGAACTCAGCGCTATGGTAATGGAGCCTCAATTTGAAAAGTCAGAAAGGTAAACAAAAGGGAGATGAGGGCAGGGGAGGGTTAGAGGAGAGGTATAACCTGGTTTGCTGAAGAGCAGTTCCAAGATAGGGCTGTGTCTTCTGTGTGAACCACTGTGTGCTGTCACTCCTGGCCCCTCCTGCTTCCCCTGCCTTGTCTGACTCTCTCCGTGCATTTCTAGTCCTGTGGACATTTTTCTGGAAAGATTGACTTCCAGCCCTACTTCCCTAATTTTCCCACCTTTCACTGGTCTCGTCCCCCCTCAATCTAGGTTAAGTGCTATTCCTTTGTCTTTTTATCCCAGAGCCATGTCTACTTCTGCCGCAGCCCTGACACATGCACACGATGCACAGGATCATATTCTGTTGTCTTCCTCTCCTAGAGAAGACAGTTCAGTGCACCAAGGATGGCATCTTGTTAAACTGCCCTAACTAATTGGCACTCAATAAATATTGGTCAGATTGTCCAGAAAGCCATGGACAGAGCTTCAAGGTGATGCCTACCAGTACAGACTGCAGGAAAACTCATGAAAATGCAGAGAAAGGTTGGCTAAGGCTGTGAACAGAATGAACGAGCAGGAGAGAACCACCACCCTGTGATACGGCCATCCAACAGGTAGTAAGGTAGGGGATTGCCACTGGTGCTCTCCTTAAGAACAAGGTTTCCATGGAAAATCTTTTCCTTTCTCAGATGGAGTATTTGCTGCTGTCTCCTCTGACATGGGCTTTCTGCTTCGGTGGTTTGATATGATGTATGTCTCAAGCTTTGTATTCCACATCTGGCCTGATGCAAATCACATCACTTTCTTTGATTTTATTTTTTTAGCCTAAAATGGAATATTCACCTTGTGGACCCTGAGTTCTTTTCAACTCTTCATGGTTTGGTCCTGCTTCAACTGTGAAACACCCGTAAGCTTCTAATAAACACTACAGCCACCTACCATGCAGACAGTGAATAAGTACTTCTTCCGTCTAATCATCTTGTAAAACTTAGCACCCCACAACTACCACCTTGGATCTTTTTTTGTTACGTAAGGAGAATTGAGAGTAGCTTCTCACAGCTCACCGCACTGCTGGAAGGAAACAAGTATGGCTTATCCCATCGTCATGAAGAGATGTTTCCATCTTGTTCCCAGCCTCATTTCCTGCCCAACCTTTTCCAAAACTCTGCTCTCTTAACACAGTTCATCTCCAGTGCAGCAAGGAGAGAACTAGATTGATGCATTATATTTACCTGAAATAGTAATATACCTTAAGTTCATAGACCATAGGCTCTCTGAATACCATATGCTGTATTCTTTGGCCAATTGAACAAATTAAATTTATCCACTCCCAAGTCAAGACTGTTACTTTTCCATCACTACAAGAAAGCAGGGAACACGTGAAATGTGCTTAACAGAAGATTTCAAGAGTGCAGATAAATGGAGTATTTTTTGGAGTAATTTCCCAATGATATAAGATGCATATTTTAAAACATTTGCAAAATTAAAAAATAAATATAAAGTGATCCACATTTTATAAAAAACCTCACCTGGATAGAATAATTTTACCTAATCCTTGAGCTACTATATGCCACATTAAATTGTTCTGGATGATTTAAATTTTGAGAGGTATTTGATTACTAGGTTACTCTGAGATGCTAAGAAAATATATTAATAGGAAATAGACTAGTATTTATTCTTATTTAGAGTTATTACATGGCATTTGGGTGGGATATATTTATATATTCATTATTTTATATGAACAGAAACTCAAGTTATTATCAAATTATTCATATTACACTCTGAGCTAAAGGGGAGAAAGACATATTTTCAAAATTCTTTGAATTCAGTTTTGTAAAAAAGACATTGGGGAGTTCCTAAATGTAGTGGGAATTTTAGTATACTAAAATTTGCTCTTTTAGTATACCATAATGTAATTTTGCAAATTATGCCTTCCCTTTCTGACCCCCCAGAACCTTTTTCTTTGGAAATGTTTTTCACTTGGATTCCTTAAATATAGTAAAATTCCATTTCAGAGTTAAAGTCTGAAAATATTAATCTTTTTCTACATGTAGTTCTTTAGACAGTTTTGCCTGAATTTCTGCTAAGCAATAGTAGGTGTTTTGTTTAGATGGAGTGGCTCTGTCTGCTGGCTTTGTGAAAATGAAGTCAGAGACTCTGAGGATGCAGGTCACAGAAAGGGACCTAAAAATATGGGAGCTGATGCAGGTGTGACCCTTACAAGGACACCCTCAGTCCACTGTTTTCTCTTCCTTCATTTTTGAACGAGCAAAAAATAAAAGCAAGAAAATTAAACATTACCGCACGTCAGAGAAATGCTTAGCAGAGTCACTTGAGGGAAAGTCATTTACTTTGTTAGCACTTCCCTTGACTCATTTGTGAAGTGGTGGTAACAGATCCTTCTGTCATGCAGAGCTATTAGGCTAACAGGAGACACAAAGTGCTGAGCACCTCCTTTAATAAAGCGCATAATCATTTAACAACATTTCTGTTCTCTCAAGAGCTTATTACTTATCTTACCTTATATTCTAGATCCAGCTAAAGATAATTGTCTTATATTTGTTTTCTAATCTGTCTATTCTTGTCTTAAACATAATCACAGTTTTGCACCTTGCCCCCTTTTCTCGGGATCTCTAAGACATAAATAGGAAAGTAAATTTCAAACATTTGTTTCTAAGACTAATGTAGTTTTTGCTCACAGAAAGTACTTCATATTAAATAAAAAGCTTGTAATTTAATCAACCTATAGAAATAGATGGAACGGGATGCTTAGAAACTAAGACCAAGCTGAGCTGAAATCTCCAGCGTCACAGTACAGGAGTAGGCATGTTTGAGTCACTGCTGAGTGTCCCCAGGCCTGCAGACACACCATGGTTTCACTGTTCAATTTATGATGAGAGCTACCGAACTGCACCCAGAGCTTCATCCTGAACCTGTCACAGGCAGTAAGGATGCAGCAGGGAGAATTTTGTGACAAATTTAAAGGGTCCCTCCAATGCCAGC